AAAAAAAACATACTCATTTATTATGATTTTTACTGCCATCAGTAGAAGCAGCAGCAGGAGCCGAGCCGGAGAAGGAGAGAAAGTGGTAAAAAAGGATTTAACCAAGTGGAAAGTGTTGTTCCATGGAGAGGGTTTGAGAGAGTGTGCGTTTGTTCGTAATTTTCGCGAGTTTCACTACCTTTTGTCTAACGGGGTTATTACAACCCCGTCATAAAGGTAAGCCTGGTGTTGTTGCATTGGCGAGTTAAGTAATTTGTTGTTAACAATGCCATCGCCACCGCCGCCACAGAGCCTTGTCGTAAAAAACGAAGGGAAAAATGCCAAGAATTTTATGGTTTTTGCAAAACAAAACGCAACATTATATATGATTACGTTTTTTAGCCAATGACGATATCTGTGTTGTTGTTGCTGTTGCGGTCCTTCGCGCATTCCTAAGGCAGAAAAGTTTTGGCCTAACTAATATTACATGATAATGATAATCAAGCATGTGTTTTGTTTTTTTTTTCGACAAGGCTACAAGGAGTAAAAAATGAGTTATTTCTGAGAAAATATTTTCGCGAAAGGATTTGCCTTTAGCCTTTCGCCGGAAAAAAGGATTCATCATAAAATTCAAAAAAAAAAAAGCAAGAGTTGCTTAACATTGCTTGTCGTCTTTTTTAGTATTTTGTTAATATTTGCGTGCAAAATTGTCTATTTAATATGGAAAAAGGTTAAGAATTCCGGGAATTTGTTATGGCATTTCTATAAATTCCGCGGCGATGTAGACCTTGACTCTTTCTTTTTTTGTGGGTTTTTCGTCGTAAAAGGATTGCTTAATATTACAAAATGTTATTTTCTATGGAGAAAGGTTTTTTGGGTATCTTCGGTATTTAAAAATTACATGGTATTACATGATGACGAGACCACCTGATGTATTGCTACGGCCGCGTCTATATTTACAAAATAAATTACCAACAACTATATAGACGCAGCCGTAGCCAAATTTCATATTTTTTAGAGAATTAGTTAGCTTGTGTTTGACTGAAATAAGGAAGACAGTTGTGTGTCTTAAACACATGGGATAACGAAAGAAGGAATTATAGAATGACTCACCTTCAACATATTGTTAAGTTCTCCGCCATATACAAAGCTTTATGGAACCCATACAGATTATGAATTTTAGAAATATGAACAAAAAATCATTTCGGGATATTTTTTGAATATGCACTTTTTACATAAAGTTACAAATTCGTACATGGAATGAGAAGTCAATGTTCTCGGTCAAAACTATTCTTTATTTCAAGTTATCTAATTCGATATTAAATAAAGCTGTGAAACAAAATTAAAAATTTCCAATTTCGAAATATTATGATAGTACATCTAAAATTAGAAGACACGCGTATAGGCGTTTTAAATGTTAAAATCGGGAGATAACCAAAATGGGACGCATATATATACATTTTTGAAATTTTCGGCAATATTACTGCCAAAAATTCGGGTAATAATTTTTATGAAACAGATTAGCCTAGCCATATTTGACATTTTTCCCCATAACAATTGAATGCAGTTCCCATAATACAACAAAACTTGAAATAAATAATAAAAAAGTAAGATGTAAAAAAGCTGTAAGTTTGGTCGGGCCGAACTTTGGTTAAAAGTTTGGTACAAAGTTAGCATTTTTCAAAAAAATTAAAATCCATTAAAAATTCTGTTAAAATCTTAAAAATACCGAATGTAGCCGTATATTAGGTCTATACGACAACGTGGACCTGCATACGCAAATTTTGCCATAAGCGTGCACAGACAATTTTCTGTCATAGGCTGTAGAATTCATTGCGAACTCAACTATAAATGAAATAGTTGCGGTAAATATTGTCGCTTAAATTATCAAAATACCGAATATCGGGAGGTACCGTTTTGTGGGGGCTATACGAAGACGTGGACCTATATGGCCCATTTTCAATACAAAAAGACCTGCAGACACATTTGAGTACATTTTTATCAACTTACTTCATTTCGTTCGGAAGCTAGATTGATTTCCACATACGGATAGACGGACGGACATTTTTAAATCGACATAGAATTTTATGCTGATCAAGAATATATATTTTGTGGGGTCTAAAAAGTATATTTCGAGGTGTTAAAAACGGAATGAAAAACTTAACATACCCTCCATACTATGTGGAGGGTGGAGGGTATAATAAATAAAACAGGTAAAAAGGTTCAGTCGGTTTAGACAAAAGATGTGTACCCCCAGCCAATGACCGATTACTTAAATATATTTTGACTTCTGTTATGATTACTTAAATTGTTGACCCTCCATGTTTCGAAGGAATGAACCAATATCACCAATTATAAAAAAAATATTTTCAAACCTGGACTATATTGGTTCCTTCCTTCATCTTATAAAAGACATGGGATAATTTTTAGAAAATGCTTACATATGGGTTGGGTTAATAAAAAAAACTGTAATGTGTGTAATTTAAAGAAAATCGGATTCTATTCAAAATTTTGAACCTTTGTACTTGATGAAGTGGGCCGATATTGTCCATTTTCGCACCTGATCTAGCACTGATGCAAATATATGGATTTTCAAAGTTGGAGCAAAATCGGATTATTCCTTATCTTTCTGTGCAGTAAAATATTTCTATGAAAATGTTGACCCTCTGTGGGGGGAGGTACCAAAGCGATTGGACTGATATTGGCCATCTCCAAACTCGATCTAAGTTTGATAAGAATATTACGATGTACCAAGTTTGGACCAAATCGGCAACTCCCTTCGAGAATTGTTGTGCGAACCACCCACCCAGACAGGCGTTTGGACTGACTGAGACCCTTCACATCCAAAATCGTTATTTCTATAAGGCGTGTTTTGGCCTCATCAATAATCCCATAAAACACGCCTTTAGGGATGGGGACATTGAAGATAAAAATATTTTTCGTAAAATAACTATAAATTTTCCGAAAATTTTTGCCGCTGTAGGAGTAGCGATCATCATAATAGTTTAAGGTCCCCTATTCAAAATCATGGCTTTTACGCCTCTCCAAAATCATGGGATAAGCCAATTCTGATGACGTAATTGTACTTTACCTTATTGACATATGGGGCTATATAAAAACGTAAACCTCTACACCCAATTATTTGCCAGAGAAGAAGGCGGCACCAATTACAAACCCTAAATAGCAAGTTTGAGATAATTCTGTTAAAAATGTAGCCCATATCCTTAAAGTACCTAATTTTGAAAAGAATCGTTATATGGGGGCTAAATGAAGGCGTGGATAGGTATAGGACATTTTCTGTCTTTGGAGGTATGACCCATGACAAACTTCAAAAATCGAATTTTATACTATTTTGGGGTAAAGTGTCAAGATAGCGAATAGATATATGGTGACAATAACAAAACTTGCACCTATTTGAACAATCCCATGCAAGGATGTTCCCCACATACTGCCAAACACAGTTTCGAACAAACTAGGGTTAGACAAATAAAAGAAGATATACCAAAATGTAGACCTATAGATTTTTTTAATTTTCATATCATACCTTCAGCCATATGCCTACGGAGGGTATATATTATTTGATACGGACAAAACGTGTCTTATCGAAATAATGGACTTAGACCCTAGATTTTTTTGTCCAAATCCGTTTCAGGACATTTGGAGTCGATCTAGGGTTGTCCGTCCGTTTATCTGTCTGCGTGGCCGGGGCGCACGATATTTGTTGCGAAAAAGGACACTATCGGCCACTCCCTCAAGTACAACACCCACTCCCCACAAAGGGTCAAAATTTTGAATAACCTAAACGATCATTCGGGTGTCGGGTGTGAAAATGGTAATATTATTATACTCCATAATGTACATCCCTCATAAAGGATCGAAATTTTGAAAAATTATAACTCTTGTAAAATGCGAAATTCCACTCCATTTGTTCCACGCGAGTTCAACGTCGAATTCTCTTCAAATTTCAAACATCTTCATATTTCTACTAAAACAAGACCTGGTGTAAAGATGAAAAATATATAACCACTCCTTCTGGCACCTCCCCCACAAAGGGTCAATATTTTGAGTAATTGTGGCTCCCATAAAATACGAAATAAGCATCCGATTCTCTTCAAATTTCACACTTCGTAATATTTTTATTAACGCTGGATCTGATGCGGATATGCAATATGCCGGACCAATCCTTCTGGCACCTCCCCCACAACGGGTCAACATTTCAAAGAATTGTGAAGTTCATAAAGAGCAAAATGAACATCAGATTCCTTTTAAACTCAGCACATCCGAGTATTTTTGTTAACACAAGATCTGGGTCATAATTTTGAATAATTTTATCTCTCATAACATGTGAAATAATTCAGCGATTTTTATCAAACTTCGCGTATCTCAAGATTTTTGTTAACCATCGATCTAATAGATATTTCGGTCCACTCCTTCTAGTTAAACTTTTGGCCAAGAATTATTTTTATAATATTCCAAAGTTGATCCTTGACCTTAAATTCCTAGGAAATCACTGTTTCTAGTTTTTCGAAATATAAATTTTAAAATGTTTAACAAAAAAAAGTTATGAAAATCTGTAAAATTTCTTATATTTTAGGGTCACAATTACGGTTCGGTGGCAGTAACTTTCCTTACTTCTTCAAAGAGGGAATTGTTGCTCAAACTGGAGGTAAAGTACCACGATTTTTTTAAATTTTAATTGTTGTATGGATATGGATATGTGAAGCTCATTTCAATGTAAGTGAGTAAAAAATCAAAAATGATTACCAAAGAAGATCGAATAATTATCCACAACAACATGAATTCTCAAATGTAATGATTTCCTAAAAATCATCCCACAGAGTTTTATAATCTGCAGCAGGACCTAAAAATATTCCCAAAACATTTTTGTTTATTCTAAAAATTCACTTGATTTCTGGACACACCAAATCGATTTGTTCCATTTTCTACGATGCACTTCGCGGAAATCATAAAAATTTACATAAAACATGTTCTAAAATTACAAAACAATAATGCCAGCTTACCAAAGTCGTGCAAAAAACTAGATCGGTTTTTGCATTGCGATTTGTGGCCATAAAAATTCTCAAGTAAAAACAGCAGGATCCATGCTAAAATAAAACATGCCTCAATTACGGCCATGTTTCTCATATTTCCCAAGCATTTGTGTTACAATTTGGTAGGTAAGTAGGTCCTACCAAATGAGGCTGAACTGGGCTGTAAAGGAAGGAAACAAAAAACATGCAAATTATTATGTAATATTTACAAATAAAAACAACAACAACAAAACGACGACGAGTCCTTAAAATGTGCGGCGTTTCTTTGGAATTCCAAAAATCTTTACGATTTTTGTTATAATTTTTTGTTACAGTTTTTTTCTAGGGATCAACGTTTTTATTATTATTTCCTTTTTTCGCTGTCCACGACAGGATATGTCAAGAGCAATAAGGTGAGGTTGTTTGAGGGTGTGTGTGTGCGTACCCAAAAAACACAATATCCACAACAAATGTGTCCTTATTTTCGCAATAATTGTGTTTTTAGGCCATGCGGACAGACAACGGCCTAAGTGGCTGCCAGAGATATGACGTAACCGTGATGACCTGCCGCATTTGCATTTAGCGCATTCACGCCACGATTTTTATGATCGTTTTTACTTTTTGCCGTCTGCTGGGCGATGTGTTTTTTCGCGAAATCATCCTCAGACTTTTTATTTAGGCCGTAACAAATTTCTTTGTCTGTCCATCCGTCTGTCTGGCTGTCTTCGCCTCCCACATGGATGGCCTTATAAAAAGATATTTTTAAAATAGTTTCCTTATAATTATGGCAACCTTAGTTTCGGTTTATGACTCTGTTTCGCTGACACAATGTTACGTAATTTTTGTCTAGTTCCCAGAAAATTAGATTATTCCATTGTTTGTAAACGCAAAAAAATAAATGCAAGGCCATGGAACAAAAAACTGCACTAAAAATTGGTCAAAAAACTAGATCATGTTTTATGGTTTGGGTCAGTTTTTTTTCTGGTGTCCGTCTTGCCCTAGTTTTTTGGCCATAGTTTAAAAACGATTATGGTTTTTAAGACGAAGAACCCAGGTCATTTTTTTTGAATTGGGCGATGCAATTGACAAAAAATTGACACATTTTTTTCTTTCTTCTTCCTGTGTGAGTTCATTGAGTTTTTTTTGTGGCATCGCTACTGTCGGGGAGAGACAAGGTAAGTCATGTGGTGACACTTAGACCATGAAGAGCGAGGAATGGGTTAAATTTAACCACGAATAAAACTTATTTAATCAATCCACGAAGGATACCATGAGGATTTTTCTTGGTCCAGATCCATAATGTATATGTATGTTGTCAAACAGGGGATCCTAAATGATGTGTTATAGTCAGATCGCCGGGAGGCCCAAAATCAGTGGAAATCGCGTACAAAAAATTATTTCCGAAAGGGCAAAAAATTTTGATTTCCTATTCTTTTAGATCTGTAGTTTTGCCAACAGATGATGAAATAGTTTTTCGACGTTTAAAAAATATAAAATCGTATATCCGGATCATATGAGAAATAAAATATGACAAAATATCTATTCGTACTCAACCTTTACTTATTCTTTCAATGATATCCAACAAAAATAGTAAATTTGGTAAATTGATCCGCAATGCATCAATTATCTCAAAATGATATTTTTTGTTAAAAATACCCTCCACCATTTAGAACGAATTTGGCAATTTTCAAAAAAAAAAAAAAATAAAATAAAATTCCGTTAAAAATTCAGTTAACGACGACGTGGACCTGCATAGGCTACTTTTGTCATAAGCCATTACAATATTCAAATGCGAATGTAGCTAAAATCATCAAAATACCGAAAATAGGGAGGTACCGCTACATGAGGGCTATACGTGGAAGATGTGGACCTGCACAGACAATTTTCTGTCATAGACCGCAGTATCCATTACGAACTTCAAACACCAAATTTGAAATAATTCTGGTGAAAATTGTCGCTAAAATCGTCAAAATACCGTATATCGATCGGGGGTACCGTTACATGGGGGATATACGAAGACGTGGACCTACAAAGACAGTTTTCGGTCTTAGGCTGTACTATCCGTTACGAACTTCAAATACCAAATTTAAAACATTTCCGGTGAATAATGTCGTTTAAATCACCAAAATACCAAAAAAAGGGAGGTACCATTATATGGGGGCTATACCAAAACGTGGTCCTACATGACCCATGCAGACATAATACACATTTGAGTAAAATTTTATCAACCTACTTCATTTCGTTCGGAAGCTAGAGTGATTTCCACAGACGGTGTTAGAAACGGAATGACAAACTTAATATACCCTCCATACTATGATGGAGGGTACACAAATTCCAGAATGGGAAAGTACCAACGTATGTTTGCTATAACAGACAACAGGCTATTACACACATACGTCATGGACCAAACATGGACCCAACCAAAAAATTTTGTGTCTGATGAATAGTACATATTCGAAACTTTGTCGAATTATTTCGCAAGTTAGGAGAGATATAAATATTGGAAATTGTATGAAATTTGAGGAGAATCTGATGCTTAATACGCGTTTTATGAGCGTTTTTGTTATTTACAATGTTGGCACTTTGTGAGGGAGGTGCCAGAAGGAGTTGACCTATATATATTTCATCTTCACATCAAATCTTGTGTTGATAGAGCAATTAGGATGTGCCGAGTTTGAAAAGAAACGGTTGGTCATTTTGCGTGGTTATTTAAAAATTTGACCCGTTGTGGGGGAGGTACCAGAAGGAGTGGTCCGATATATTCCATCTTTTTACCAATTGGTAGAAATATTGGCATGTGAAGACAATCTGACTCTTATTTCAAATTTTTAAAGATTTATAATTATTACAAATTTTAAAGTGGAGGTACTTGATGGAGTTTACAAATATTGATCATTTTCGCACCTGTCCTAGGACTGATAAAAATGTTGGGATGTGCAAAGTTTGCACAAAAATGCATGGTCCTATCTTATTCTATTAATTTTTTTTTCGGTGAAAATGTTTACTTTTTGTGGGGACGGTACCAGAAGGAGTGGACCGATAATGCCCATCTCCAAACTTGATCTAAGTTTGATGTCCGGATATGTTTCAGTTCCGGAGATATTACCCTACCTTGGGGAACTTCCTGTTTTACTTCACAGAGTTTGGACTTCTTGTTCCGGTTGGCGATTTTTTAGCCAACGCTTCAAACCCGAACGAAGGGTAGTCTTCTCAACGTCCTAGAACAGCGTGGCGTGATTGTCAGCACATCTCAACTTCTTCTGATGCTGGGGAGGGGTAAAACCTCAAGACTCTTTGCTACTGGCAATATAAGCGAAATCGGATTATAAGATCTGCCTTTGCTAAAATCCTTGTCTGGCTTGATTAGCGGAAATACTCATTTTTTAGGCTTCGGAAACGCTGTGGGTGACTAAAGACAGGTCGAAAACTTAATTGAGAAACTCACTTCCAGAGGGTGAGATACACACGCCTGAGGGCTCAATGCTTTCGATGCATTAGAGTTGCCGATAACATTTGCATCATCTCCTATCGTAAATTGTGGTGGTACATCCTTGACGGGATAGGATCTTATACGATGTGCGCACATGCTTATACGACGAATAATCATCACTTTGGGGGAGCTCGAAAAAGTTGTGACCAAATTGGACAGTAAACCTTTTCTGATTAGTCACCGTTAATTGTGACTGCGTTCTGTTACCAAATACCTTGAAAATTACTATTTCCGAAAAAATATATAATATAAGGTTGACTTTTTGCCCATTCGATAAAGTTCCGATTAGAATAAAGTCTACAAAGTTTAGATCAAATATATTTAGATGTAGCCATAGCTCCCATCTATCTGTCTCAAAGAAAATTTCTCCCCATTAAAATTTGTGGAAATAAATTCAGAATAACAATTAGCCCTTCTGGTGTAGAGTACCAAATAGTCGGCCCCATAGAGTCACACATTATAAGAGTAATTATTCAAAATATTGATTCTTTGAGCCGTAGTGAGAAGTGGGTGAGCCAATAATTCACTTGAACAAAGGACATATTTAAAAATTTTAACAACGGTCATCTATTAGGTACCAAGGAAGAGATTAAACCCAAAACCGGCAATCCTAAAATTTTTACACATCACTGCATATTTTTAGTAAAAAAGTTAATTTTAGTCCATTGATTTGATGATAGGTTCAACACTTGCCAAATAGACGTTCGTCTAGGAAAATATAAAACCCAACCTAAAAATCTGCAATATTTCTAATACATGCGTGAAAGTTCTGTTTAAAGTAACATATTCACTAAATTCATAAAAACACAGAGACATTGGGTATATATACAAAATTAGGTACTATTGTATATTGAAATATAATTGAATAAATATTAAATAAAAAATAACATTCTCTTAAAAATGTACAACAAAAATGTTGCATCTCCTTATTTTTAGTTCAATAGTGTTCTTAGATAGGCTGACAGACACAAATACAAATATTTTGGCAACAATGACCTGTCATATTTGCATGTTCCTGCGTTATGTTTACCTTTGTGTCATTGTGTTAGTTTTTTCGCGCAAAAAATACCATTTGTTTCGACCGTAACGAATGCCCAACGATACGTCCTTATGGCCTTATAAAAATACACATTAAAAACAGTTTCTTGGTAATTGTGTTTACGACACTATTGCGTCCTTGTTGCGTAATTTTTTCCTAGTTCTACGGAAATTCGAACATTTCATTGTTTGTAAACGCAAAAAAATAAGTGCAAGGCCAAGGCAACAAAAAACTGCACTAAAAATTGGTCAAAAAACTAGATCATGTTTTATGGTTTTGTGCGAATTTTTTGTGTGGCCGTCTTGAACCATTTTTTTTGCACATCATTAGACCAATTATGGTTTTTTGGAAGAAGACAGGCCATATTTCTCATAAGGAGATTTTCTTGAAGATAATTTGCGGGAGTTTTTTTAAGGATGCCCTATTAAGATTTATTCTCTTTTTTTGTGGTGGTGCTACTGTGCCAAGAAATGGGTATTTCAGAGTTGACTTCAGATCGTAGTAAAGAAAGATCAATGGGCAATGACATTTTTGAAAAATATTTTGGGTGATTTTTGAAAACAATCAAAATATTGGATAATATGAAAATAAAATTTTTAAAATTAAAAAAAAAATCTAACCAAACAAAAAACATGGTAAGAAGTATTTCTCA